TGGTTGCACGGCGTCATCCCAATCATCTCGACCAACAGCATCTTGTACCTGTGCAAATGTGACCACGAAGACAAAAAATATAAGCACATAAAACTTAACTTAATCAAACACACTATTTAAGATTCATACTAATAAAGTATTTATAAAGTAACATACCTGTTGGTTTTATACGTGGAATCTATGCCGACATACCAGTGATATGTCTGGAATAGATTGATCGACGCAGGATGGGTCATGAATATATGCGTCAACGCTTTCGTGTTCGGATCGGATTCTGCATAAACTGTATACTCGCTGCTCACGGCCAAATGCATAAGGTGAGAAGGAACGTCTCTACCGTCGGAACTATCTCTCCGCAGCTTATCTCTAAAGTTATATACCTGTCACCGATTAGCGTTAATTATAATGATTATTATAATTTAAAACAAAAAATTTATTATATTAATAAATAAAAAAGTATATTAATGCGATTAATTTGATAAAAAAATTATTAACTATCACAATAACTTTTACATATAAAAAATTACTAATTATCATAATTAACTTAAAAAAGTTAATTAAAACATATATTACAAGATATAAATATATATACCTGCCGCACATGAACGTTGTCTCCCGGATTCTTTTCCTTCAGCGCGGCCATAATTTTTTTCGAGGCCACCTGAGCGTCCGTCATGTCACGAACAATTTTCTTAGATGAAGCGCTGAGGCCGCTCAACTGGCTATGACCCTCAGGATACACAGCAAATGCATGGTTATGGTAGCCTTTCTCTTCATTGCTACATCTACAGATCCTCCAGTATGGAGCGTCGGACACCTTTTTTACTTTGATCTCAAAATTGCAGCCGCACTTATTCGTTTTTGTCTTTCTACAATTTTCGCCTGTGCCTCTGTACCGTTCGCCTCTATGGCACTTCAAAAGTCTGACCGTTTTCTTTTTGTGGCTCGAAATTATTAATAGGAAACCATTCAACATTGCCTGGTGTTTTGCAGCTTCAATAGACTCCTGAGCACTATTATATAATGTACATGTATCGAAACGCAGACTGTAATCAACACCATCTCCTCCAAAATCTTCCCATGACTCCTGCTATATAGTACAATATTTATATTTTTAGAACATGTTAAATTAAGATAATTAATTCTACCATGTAACATAATAATTTGTAACTATCTAACGTCCAATTTATATTATAATAAACATGTAACACAATAATTTGTAACTCTTAACACGATACTATCTAACGTCAATTTATAACATAACTAAGACTAATATGTAATATAATAATTTATAACTCGATAATAATTTCAAAATGTAACATAATAATTTGTAACTCCTAACACGATAAACGTCCAATTTATATCATAATCAAGTCTAAAATGTAACATAATAATTTATAACATAATAATATAGTCTAATTTATAACATCAAAAACCCTAGCTCTCCTCTCTTCCATATACGTTGCATAACGTTAGATTGTAATTAATTAATGCAGTAATATAATAACGCATTTAAAAATTGCAGTACGTACTTGATTTCAGTCACTTGATCGATGTGCTTATTAATCTTCTGCCAAATTGTATCGAGCGCGCCGGTGGACGTCTGGAGCCACTCCTTCAACACAGAGTGGGCACTCTCCAACCTACAGGAAGTTGTGTTTCCAAAATGTGTCACTCGGTTGGTCCAAGCCTTCACAAACTTCTCGCGGTGCCCTAACCATGTGCCCTCCACATACCGTATCACCTCTGGGGACTTCCAATATTTTGCGTAGAGCTCGACAACGTCTAGCCCGTCTAGCCCGCCTAGACCGTCTAGCCCGCCCTAGTCTCGCCATCCCGTCACAGATCTATACGCACCTCTTTCTTAGTACTTGATTTTTTAGAAAAATTTAGAACTTATTTGAAATCATTTGAACCTTGAAAACATTTTCTTGGGTACCTACTAAAACCTTTCTTTTCTTTCCTACTTTCTTTCTTTTCTTTTCAATTAAGACAAAAGCAGAGCATATGGTACTTGGTCCAATAATTGAAGACATTCAAACTTAGTTCTCAAAACATGGAGAAATCAACATGTTCAAACATTTTACGGAAACATATAAAATACATTTTTTTACCACCACTGCCCCTCGTGTCCGTCGCCAACAGCTTAACCTGAAAATGGTAGTTGTGGGGGATGAGCAAAACAACTAGCCCACCTAGAGTCTATAATATGTAGATATTCAGAATAATTAGCGGATAATATGATAACAACATGAAACATAAATCATCATAACATTTCTCCGTTTCACAGGCGACTACACCGTCTCATAAGTGACATCACAGTCTCATTCGTGGCATCACCGTCTCATAAGTGGCATCACCGTCTCATAGGTGAACATAACATATCATTGCCTTTTTGTCGACCTACGCCCTTACAGGCAGAATATATATGTAACCTGCAGTAACCATAATGATCACAATAATTATAAAGAATATTACATAAGATAGACTTCCCCACCTTTTTAACTTACTACACTTGGATGAAATGAATGCACATGCGGCTGTTTAAGGCTCGACTCCTCTTAATCCAAATTTTGATTTTTAAGTCCTTTTATTAGGATTTTGATTAAAAAATGCAGAACAAACAATTAAAACACGTAAGGCACGAATCGCAGATAAGAGCATATAATTAAGCAGATAAAATCACATAAAACTTTCTAACTTTTTCTCGGCTCGACCTGGTTTCCGGATCACATTATAACACTCGGAATTCTTTTTCTCGGTCGCTGCTGCTGATGGGTATGCTCGCGCATGGACGCACTGGTGCTGCTGGATGCCGCTGGGACTCGGCAGCTGCGGCCTGACCCAACCTCAACCTATTTTCTCCGGCAACATTCTTCGGATATTTCTCAACTTTTTTCGGTCATTACACAGATATAATAATAGAAACAGGTTCCAAAAGAGCATAACACTTAAGAATTTACCACATAAAGAATCAAGGCAAACGACTCCATCTTCTTTTCTTTTCTTAACACACAAGTTCAAAATAATACTAACACCTACAGGACACATATTAATAGCAAAGCACTTCAAAATTACACATTATAACAACAATTAAAACTCAAAAAAGTCACAGCAACAAGAGGCAAAACAAAACACACCAAAACATGAATATAGCCTTCATATCTCTTTCTTCTTTTTGTACATCTCATAGCACACATAAGGGCCACAAGAACTAAGGTTAAACCTCTGCAAATGATCAAGGATCAGCATTCCAAAATCACCATAAGCCTCAGCAATAATGGGCGATAAAATAAAGCATACAAAAACATGATATAACCTTCCTTCTTTAACTCAACGCATAAGCAATATACCTCAGGCCTTAGAACTAAAACTTAAGGCCTCTAACATGAGTATTTACAGCATGATAGCTCAGCATATACATCTCATAATAAGTTGGCCAAATATGAAAATAATACACTCTCTTCTTCAAAAATTTCCATAGGATTCCATATAACTTATATGAGGCTGAAAACTGATGTGAATAATCAAAACTAATAAAAGACATAACCATAAAAATTTTAGGTTGAAACATGAGTTGAGACTGAGTAAAATCGAGATCAAAGTCAAATAGACATGCTGAGACTAAACATTTTCCATAGCATTCAATTCAATTAAACTAGACTAAAAATTCATATACATACTCTTAACATACTCATATATCAGCCATAAAAATTATAAGTCAAAAGCATGACCACAGGATGAGATATAATCATTCAAAGTAGCAGTTTATTCACAGAATTCAAAGTGACTGACATGCTTCTGTTCAATAATTTCTATAGCATGATATACAAATCAACTGAGGCTGAAATTTAACAGGAACACACTCAACTTACACAAGAAATGACCATAAAATTTTTAAGTTAACAGGATAACTATGGATTGGGTAAATCAAGGCAACAAGTCACAATACTAGACAGAATTTCACCTCAGACAGACCTTCTATCAGAATTTTCTACAGCATTCATTACAATTCATATTAAGCTGAAATTTCATACGAATCACCTCAACATAAACATGATTCACCACAAAAATTTTTAGGCTACGTTTGTTTTGAGGGATTTGAAATCCCCTGATTTCTAAATTTTTGAAATAGAATTTTTTTACTTGCACACTCCTTGAATGGATTTGTTGAAGTGATTATAAATCCATTGTCTAGCTCGCGATGGTGTTGACTCGCGGTGGTGACGAACCTAAATGATCGCGGACGGTGCGGTAATCAACGGTGATAAACAGTGGATTTCAAATGACTAGGTTTGATGAGTCATTTAAAATCTTTCAAAATAATGACTAAAAATTATCTAGCATGTATTTGAAATCTCCCAACTTCTATTACCATCCCAACATGCATGGGGATTTGAAATTGTAAATTTGAAATCTATAGATTTCAAATCCTTCAATAAATCATTCAATCCAAACATAGCCTCAGATTTTTCTAACCACATTTGCTAGGAAAAATTCGAGACAAATCCAGCACCACAATACAACATCAAACTTCATTCACTTCATTCAGTATCAACCAAATTAAAACATGCCATAATCTATCATTTTAAAACTTCAACAAGCTCATCGATTTGACCATAAAAGGTACTAAAGGGCCTAGCCAATTTACCTTGAAAAAAATTATGGAAAAATGAGTGAAAAGGGCTTGATTCAAAGCTTAGGTGCTCGGCAATGGGGCTGCGGCTTCCTCGAACTTTGGATTGGAATGTGGCTAGCTCGAGGTGGTGATGGGTGGCTCCAAATATTTTTGGCTTCTCCTCTCTCTCCTCTCTCTCTCTCTCGTCTCTCTCTCTCTCTCTCTCTCTCTCTCGCTCAACCACCCGCACGCAGAAAGGTTGTTGTGCTCGAAAAGGGGTGTTGCGTGCATGGGGAGCTTCTCGGCGGCATGTGGTGTTTTCTCGAAATTTTGTGAGGGCGCAGGGATTTTCTTAAGTTTTTCCTGATATGGGGATGATGAAATGGAGGCTGATTGTGGTGGTGTGGAATTTTTAAGAACGTGAGATAAGGGTTTTTAAAGTTTAAAACTTGAATAGGGAGATAATTTTTCTCTCTCTAGGAGAGTTCTTTCTCTCGACGGAGAGTTTTTCCCTCATTGGAGGGCTTTCATTTGTTGATATCCTTCTTCCATTCCTCTGGTCTTCTTCTTTCTCTTTCTTTGTTCTCGGAATCGATTATTATATCTCAGAAGGGCAGGTTAATTGCGATCTAGGGTTTTTCCATGGCGGGGTTTAATTCCAGTAATCTGGCTGACGAAGTGGAGCAACGATTGAGGATTTTCTCCTTTTCGGTAGTGGAAAATAAAGGTTATTGATCTGGGGGCGGAAGATGTTCAAACTGGAATCGAAGAATGCCACAAAAGCTTGTTTGGGGTAATCGGGGATAAAAAGGCTCATTTGGTAGGGATTAAAAGGGCTATGGGTCGCATTTGGAAGCTGAACAAACCAATGGAGGTATGTGAACTGGGGCCGAACTTCTTTCAATTCATTTTTAAAAGCATGAAGGATATGAAGAAAATCGAAGCAGGACCGAATTGGATCTTCGAGAATCAATATTTGATTCTCAAGAGCTGGAAGGAAGGATTGACTAGTGCGGATGAATGCCTTTAGAATCTCAGAATGTGGGTGCAGGTACACCATGTTCCATATCACTGGCTGACCCAAGAGGTTGGACTAAAGATCTGCCAGGTTTTCAATTCTACTTCGAATGTCATGGTGACTAACACTGGAGGTCAAGGGAGCAGAATATTAAAGTTGTTGGTGACGGTGGATCTGCGAGAGGCTCTACCTCGTGTGCTTCCATTAGACTGGGTTCTCAGATGGTTACAGTCATTTTCAAATATGAAAGACTAGTTAACCTCTGTTTCTATTGCAGCAAGACAGGGCACATTGAGAAAGCTTGTGCTCAGAAAGTGGACGATGTTGAACACAATGGATTGAAAAAGGCCAATATGGCGAGTGGTTGTGTGCTTTAGAGGGGTTGCAAGGACTGAGCTGGGCTAAATCAGAACCTTCATCAGGTCAAGATGGAGGATTTCCTTCTCCTCCAAATAAAACCCCTACTGCAGTTGCTGAGAATGAAGGGCTCATAGGGGGTACATCTGAGGAAAGAAACAGTACAGGCCATAAGGGGAAGAGTGTGGATAGACCTGAATCCAGATCATCCAATTTGGGGGAGGGATTTTCTACAGATAATATGGACAACGATATTGTAATTTTTTAGAACCAGTCTGCTATTAATACTATAGGGAACAGGATTCTATAGATTACCAGTTCTGATCCTCAATTGGAGCTGAAGACTACTCAAGCAACACAGCAGGTTGTTGAAGAAGTGACAGTGGTGCATAAAAGAATATTACCTGAGTCTATAGCAGGGAAAAAGACCTGGAAGAGAAATACAATTAATGCAAGCAGAATACCTAAAAATGGCACAGATTCTGCTATGGGGGTTTCTTCTCTTCCTGCCAAAAGAACTAGGGAATCAGAAACATAAGCTATGGATCAGGAAACAGCAAACTTACCAAGTGAGCCATTTGATAAAAAAACCAAAGACAACTCAACAACAGGAAGTGAGGGCCAGCCTTAATGGGCCCTCAAGGTGTCAATGAAGGCTCAGGGGTAGAACTGTAGAGGTCTGGGTGGGCCCTCTACAGTTCCCCAGTTCAAGGAATCCTTAAGGATCCATCACCCAAACTTTTTGTTCCTGTCAGAAGTTAGAAAACCAAATAATTTTTCCAAATCAGTTTGTATTAATCTTGGCTATAAAGATAGGTTCTTTTGTGTGGATCGCAGGGGTAGCAGTGGTGGGCTTTTGCTGTTATAGAATGAGGAGGTGAAGGTTATCCAATTGTATAGTACCTATTTCTACATTGTTGTCCAGTATAAAACCAAAAATCAGCTAAGTTCTGGATGGGCCATATTTGTGTACTTGAGCCCTGTTAAAACTGAAAGAGAAGGACAATGGGAGCAATTACTGGTAGAGAAAGCAAGGTGGGGTGATCAGTGGTGGATGGCAGGAGATTGGAATGACCTTAGAGGACCTGCAGATAAAAAAGATGGATGGCGGAGAACACATGGGAGCTACAGGGGTTTTAATGACTTTTTGGACAAAATGGGAGTCCAAGAGATACCTATAAGGGGATTACAGTTTACTTGGGCAAAAAACAGAGCAGGGGGAGAGTTTGTTGAAGAACTTTTAGATAGGATGTTTGTATCAGTCGGCTGGCTATCTCAGTTCTCTGACACAAGTGTTACCAGCTGGTTTAGGAGTGCCTCAGACCATTGCATGTTGATCATTGATTCTAAAGGTTCTCATAATAGGCAAAAAAAAGGTTTAAATTTGATAAAAGATGGGCCCAAAGAAAGGAAGCTCAAGAAGTTGTGCAAACAGCTTGGGATACACCTACATCTGGGACACCCATGTTTGTAATTAAGGAAAAAATCAAGAAGGCCAGAGAGTTTTTGCTTATATGGAGTAAGCATTTTAAATCAGAGAATGATGCAAGAATTGAAAGGCTCTCCCTACAGCTTGAGGAAATGAGACAAGAACAGGGTGACAGGAATTGGGAAGCTTGGGAGAGGATCCAAAAAGAGTTGAATGAGGCCAATTGCTCTGAAGAAGCTTTCTGGAAACAAAAAGCTCGATCCTTGTGGTTGAAAGAAGGGGACAAGAACAAGAAATTTTTCCATGCATTAACAGTTCAGAGAAGGAAGTTGAATGCAGTTGAGAGAATTCGGGTGGAGGGAAATAGACTCACTGATAATCCTGTTGAAATCCAAAGGGTTGTTACTGAGTACTATGGGGAGTTGTTCACTTCCAGAGGATCTAAGGATGGTCATGAAGTATTACCTAATGTGCTCACTCCATCACAGAAAAGATGAACAGATTGTTCATTGCACCAGTAGATGAAGCAGAGAAAAAAAAAGGCTATTTTCAGTATCCATCCTGAGAAAGCACCTGGAGAGAATGGAATGACTGGGTTGTTTTTCCAACACTTCTGGCCAATAGTGAAGGGGGATATATGCACTGCTGTCAAAAGTTTCTTTGAATCCTGCCAAATGCTAAGGTACTGGAAACATACCCTAATCACTTTCATTCCTAAATGTATCAACCTTACTTCTATCGCTCAATTCAGGCCTATAAGCTTATTTGCTGTTTTTTACAAAGTGATATCAAAGATCCTGGCTGTGAGGTTGAAACATTGTCTCCATATGTGTATCTCTGAGAATCAGTCTGCATTCTTGTCTGGTAGGTGCTTATTTGACAATGTGATTCTTGGGCATGAAGTCTTTCATTTTTTGAATAGACATAAAAGTGGGAAGAACTGTTTTATGGCCCTAAAATTGGATGTTGTTAAAGCTTATGATAGCTTAGAATGGAAATCTATTCAGTTAACTATGGTGAGGATGGGATTTCACTCTATGTTTATCAAATGGGTTCTCGCCTGCATTCAGTTTCCTACTTACTCTTTCAATTTGAACGACAAAGCACAGGGTTATCTTACTTCTTCAAGGGGAATTAGCAGGGGGATCCCATATCCCCCTACCTGTTCATCATTGTATCTGAATTGCTCACAACAAAAATCAAAGTGGAAGTTGAGAAAGGTTGCTTCAAGGGGTTAAGATTGTCCAAAGGAGGACCTTAACTAACACACCTTATGTTTGCAGATGATATTCTTGTGTTCTGCAGGGCAGAGGTTAATCAAGTCAATAAGCTGTTGAAAGTATTACATTTCTATGCTAACTTCACTGGCCAGCATGTGAATTTAGCAAAGTCCTCTGTGTTCTTCAGTAAGAATACATCAGCTGAGGTTCAGAGCAGGTGTTTTTATCTTCTGAATGGCATTAATGTGCACTCCTCCCCAAGATTTTTGGGTCTCCCTCTTGGAATAGGCAAGGCTAAGAAAGAAGCTTTTGAGTATGTGTTGTCCAAGGTCAAGAGCAGACTGACTAGTTGGAGAAATAAATGGTTATCACCTGCAGGTAAGGAAGTGCTAATCAGAGCTGTCCTTAATGCATTGCCAGTATTTTCTATGTCAGTTTTTGTCCTGCCTGTGGGTTTATGTAAGGAAATTGCTAGCCTAACTGCTCAATTCTGGTGGAATAGAGGGATAGAGGAACATAATGGTTTTCATTGGAGGGCATGGAATACTCTGACTTTGGCCAAGAAGCATGGGGGCTTAGGATTTCAAGACATTCAACTAGTTAATGAAGCACTCATAGCTAAGCAACTATGGAAACTGGTTTCAGAACCAGATAATCTGGTGAGCAGAGTTCTTAAATCTAAATATTTCCCTAACACTTCTATTTTTGAGGCACAGCAGAAGCAGAATTCATCTTGGCTATGGTGCAGTTGGCTCAAGGTGCTGAATAAATGTAGTAGATGGATGAGGAAGGAAATTGGAGATGGGAAAAGCACCAAAATATGGGATCAGTTTTGGGTGCCTAATCAATTAGGCAGGCAAGTGAGCTGCTACCAGGTATTGACAGAAGCATTATGTGGGTTAGGGATCTGATGAATGTGGAAGGGGACAAGTGGGATTAAACTAAGGTAAGGAGAACTTTTCCTAATCCAGTGAGTGAGGCTGTGTTGAATATCACTACTATTAACCCTAATGCACAAGACAAATGGATCTGGACACTCCACAATAAGGGCATGTTCACAGTTAAGTCAACTTATTCCAAGCTCATTACTGAAAAATTTCTTGGTTTGGGAATTGCTCAAGGGAGTAAAGACTTAGCTAGGGACAGCCGGATTAGAGACAGAAGTTGGAAAATGAAAGTGATGGGAGAGATTAAGAATTTTATTTGGAAATATTGTAATGGATCTTTACCTGTCAAAGTGAATATGCAGAAATGGGGAATAAATGTGGATGCCAAGTGTTGTCTATGTGGTGATGCCAATGAGCCAACAGAGCACCTATTTTTTCAGTGTAGCTTTGCTCAACAGGTGTGGAAGCTTGCTCCGATGAGCTGGGTACACAACAGAATGAATCCTTTAAATATTGGTGGTGGCAAGTGTGTCAATTATACAAAAGCGATGTTTCTGAAGCCCGTATCCAGCTATCCACGTATATCCCATGGTTGCTTTGGAAGTCGCGTAACCTTTGGCTATTTGAGAAGCTACGGAGGCCGGTGCATCTATTGTTCAATTTGCCACTCGAGATTGGCAGGATTATTTGGCCAGTAGGTGTAACCAAGCCTCCTGATGGTGTGTTTTGTATTCTCCATATCTGTTCTGTTTTCTATTTTTTTTTTTGTTGCATAGATGCCGGCTAGGACTTTGGTCAGTAGTTGGTTATTGCTTGGTTTGTTGTTATGTAGTCTATTTTGGGGTAAAGGCTCAGTACTTGTCATCTGCTTTATCCCAATAGCTATGTAATAGACCTCTTAGTTTCATGTCTTTGTTGTCTAGGCCACTTGCGTGTGGTGCTCTCATGTTTCCGGCAATGCTTTGTATGACACTAGATTTTTAATGTTATGAGAATTTCTATCGTTCCGAAAAAAAAAAAAAAAAAAAAAAAANNNCTTGAATGGGGAGAGATGGGAGGATGAGGGTCGATATGAGGGGGCTTAGTTGGAGACTTCTTCAACATTTCCTTGGTTGGCTTGAGTTGACCGTGCATAAGGGAGTTCAATTAAATCATAAGGGCCGAAGCCTTGCGCTCTTAGGTATGGCCGAGAGCTCACGGATTTATGAACTTTGGCTTCAAAAATATAAATTGGCCGAGCTTATTTTAGTTTTCGAAATTCTTTTTGGCATGCTTTAATTTGGGAACTTAGGACAACAAAATAAATGAGAAATCAATTTATAATTTAGGATAAATAACCATTAAGCATATAAGGTAAATAAGCAATTAAAATCACACAAGCAATTAAGAAAATTAAGTAGACGAGGACATCTACTTAACTTTAAACTTTTTGAACAACAAATTAAATAGACGCGGACATCTATTTAATTCGAATGTCGGATTATACGATTTAATTAAAAGGTCGAGCTAAATAAAATGCAATGCAAATAATCTCATACTCTTATTCATAAAACGGGGCATTACATGACGAATAGGAAGAGAGAGAGAGAGAGAGAGAGAGAGAGAGAGAGAGAGAGAGAGAGAAATGAGAATAATAAATAGCATATTTATCTAATGATTGATGAAAAATATGTTTTGATGTGTATACAATCATATTAAGATGGCCCATACATAAATTTAGTCAAAGTTGAATAATCATAAACTAATTACTAAATACTATCTACTTAATGACTAATAAAATAATCTATTTAATCTTATCAACATACTAGTACTCAAATTCAAATCATGTGAACATGTACAATTACAAATAAAATAGTATATGTTATACATATATATGTTATACATATATATATATATATATATAATATTTTAAATTATACATTAGATAATGAGTATATATCATTTAAAGATTTTGACCATTAGTGAAAATAAACAGCGTAAATATGAATGAAATAACTTGCATATAAATCACTAATCATAGACATAAAATATAGTAGATAATGTATTTTTTGTAATTTTTAGGAATCAGGAAAAAAAGGTTTTTTCGTCCCTTAAGTTGCCCTGATTTTGGTTTTGGTCCCGCAAATGGTCCTTTTTGGAAATAGTCCTGTAAGTGAAAAAAAATTCGTTTTTGGTCCTCTGACCGACTACAGCATGTCAGGTTACCGGATGAGCCTACGTGTGAATTAGCCCGCATACATGTAAAATAGCCCGCTTACGTGTATTTTAACGCGCCTACGTGTAATTTAAAACTAAAATAAAAAATGGCTGATGAAATTGAAATAAAAAAGGGGATCGAATCTAAAGAACACTAAAGGTCGATCGATTCTCTTTAGATTTTTCCCCTAAACACAAACCCGAACTAAGAAAAATCCTAATTGTGCACTACCCAAAAAACGCGCAATTGTGAGTTCAAATGGGATTGAAATCGGTGAAGTTTAGATCGCGTCTGCATTCGATGATCCTCCTCCAAAATATGGTAAGTTAGGCTTTCAGTTGTATTATTCCCAATAGTACTGGTGAAATTTTCGAATAATTCAGTTGTTTGTTTGTTATTGAATTAGAGTTCTGAATATGAGCAATGATATAATTGAGTTGTTTGTTGGTTTCGAAAAAAGCTTTTATTTATTAAAGAAAATTATTGTTTGCTTGTCTGTGCATCAATTAAAGTTCTGAATAATTGAGTTGTTTGTTGGTTTCGACCAAAGCTTTTATTTTTTAAAGAAAATTGTTGTATGCTTGTCTGTGCAACCATGGATCTGTATATAAAATTATTTTATGAGGGAATCAATGGAGAACCTTTTAACTTTTTGTCTTTTATATATAAGATTGTTTTTTAAGTGTATTGTGGTGTTCTATTGTGTATTAGTGTTGTTTTTAAATGTTTGGCAGATGTAAAAAGCACACATTACATAAGTGTTTACTTTCGAGGTCATCTTCACATGCAAGGGGGACCACATTACATAGGTGGGGCAGCTTATAAGTTTGACTGGGTGCAAATAAGGTCTACATCATTGGCTGCGTTTGACAAGCTGACAGTGAGAGAAGGTATGATGGGACCAATTAGGTATTACTACATTAATGAAGAAGACCTAGCTGTTCAAATAAAAACCAATGAGGAACTAACTATGTTGGTGAAAGATAAATTGTCTGTACAGAGCCAAAGGGAGATAACCATATATTTTGATGATGATGATCCACAAGATTGTGAAAGTAATGGTAGTTCATCTAAGTCACAAGGAGGGATTAGCTTCAAAGATGTAGATATTAACCAGAAAGAAGCTAATGAGTTTTAAAAGGATAATAATAATGTAAATGAAGCTCAGAATGTGGAAAGTGATGGGAGTGACTCTTCAGAGGGTGAGGAAGATGACTCTGTTCCATGAAAATGCTGATCTTGAAGTAGATAATGAGGCTTGTGAGGGTGGTTCCATTGAAGCAGATAATGAGGCTTGTGAGGGTGGTTCCATTGATGCAATTGAAGAATTAGCAAACTAGGTGTCTATTAAACTTAGAGAAGCTGAAAATGTGAAGAATGTTGGCATTGCAGAGGAGACTCAAAGTCCTCATGATCCTGATGTTTTTTAAGAAACAACAGAAAATGAGGTTAATGAAGGTGGTGAACATCAAAATGTGGAAAGTGATGGGAGTGAGGATGAAGACTATAATTTTAGTTATAAGTCTTCAGAGGATGAGAATGATGACCATGTTTTCTTTTCAAATGTGGATCTTGAAGCTGAATGGATAGGAAATGGGGCGCAGGACTATGTAGCAGATTCAAAGGATGATGAGCTAGGAGATCCAAATGTGATTGTGAGTGAAGATGACTACCAGAGTGCAAGGGACTCAGATGTAGATTCAAGTGAAGACTTAGCTCTTGTCTTCAACACAACACAACAATATACCCCAACCCTAAAATTGGGGATAATTTTTAGCAACAAGAAAGAGATCAGAGTAGCAGTGCAATCTGATGCCATCATGCAACACAAAGATGTGAAAATCACGAAGATGAATGTGTTGACCATGAATGTCAGTGGAAGTTACATGCAGTGAAGATGAATGATGAAAATACCTTCAAAGTCATGGAGTATTTCCCAACTCACACATGCCCCACTACAATGAATGTCAAGATTTTGAAGTCAACATGTCTAGCTGGGAAGTACCTTCACCAGTTTGTAGTTGTTCCAAACAGGAAGCCTAAAGGGTTTAGAGTAGGTTGTGTCCAGTCTCTCATAGTCAATGTCTCTCTTTACCAAGCTTGGAGAGCTAAGAAGTTGGCTCTGCAACAGCTAGAAGGAAGCTTCAATGATCAGTACATGTATCTTTTGTCATTTGCCAATGAAGTGAGCAGGTCCAACCCAGGTTCCACAGTGATAATTGGTGTTGATCAATCAAGCAACACATTTGACAGGATGTATATTTGTTTCTTAGCTCTGAAAATGGGTTTTCTGGATGGTTGTAGACCAATACTTGGGATTAATGAGTGTCATCTGAAAGGGCCACACAAAAAAATATTGCTGACTGCAGTTGGTCTTGACCCCAACAACAACCTATATCCACTTGCTTTTGTTGTTGTTTATTCAGAGACAGTGGTAACTTGGGGTTGGTTTCTAAGATTATTGAAGAGTGATTTGGAAATTCAGAATGGCTATGAATGGACTTTTATGTCGGACAAGCAAAAAGGTCTCATCCAAGCTTGTAATGAGGTCTTTCCTAATGTTGAACACAGGTTTTGTGTTAGGCATATGCACAATAACATGAAGACTGTTGGATTCAATGGACATGCTTATAAAGTGGCTGTGTGGAGGGCTGCCAAAGCTGCAACTCCGAATGACTTCCAAAGGGTGATGGCTGCTTTAGAAGAATTGGACAAAGATGCACATCAGTGGTTAATGGACAAACCTCCTTCACAGTGGAGCAAATCACACTTTTCTACCAAACCTAAGTCAGATATGCTCCTCAATAATTCTTGTGAACCATTTACCAGTAACATTTTGGAGGCCAGAGAGAAGCCAATTTTAACCATGTTGGAGAAGAGAAGAGAAAACACAAAGAGGGCTGCTAGAAATTGGAGAAAGAAAGTTGTATGTCCTAGGATACAAGAAATTATTCAAAAAAAATTGTCCAACGTGCCTGATTGCATTCCTCTGAATGCCAGTGATGTCCATTATCAAATTTCATGTAGTGATGGGAGTCAGTTCACATTGGACTTGAGTCAGAGAGTATGTGGTTGCAGAAGATGGGATCTTATAGGAATCCCATGTGTTCATGCACTTTCAGCAATTCACTGTGGAGGTCTAGACATTGATACATTTGTTGACAGTTGCTATTATGTAGAGACTTACCACAAAGTGTATGAACACATCTTAAAGCCTATTAATGGAAGGGATCAGTGGCCAATTTCAAAGTTCATTTCCTATGAAACCTCTATAGAAGGGAGAAATCCTGGGAGACCTTTAACATAAAGGAGGCCAGAAGTTGATGATCTGAGGAATAAGACAAAAAAATAAAAATAAAAAGGACAGTCACAAGCCATAATCCATACAAGATAAAAAGACAGTATAGTGCTGTGACATGTGGTAAATGTGGTGGAAAGCGCCACAACAGAAAGTACTGTCCTCAGCCTCAATGACCGCGCGTCGCAACGCAGCAAATAAAATTTTTTATTTTCCTTAACTAACCAACTAGCAGTAGTGGCGAGCAAGGGTCGATCCCACGAGGAGTGTGAATCAAATCGTGAATTTTCTCGTATTATTTGAATTAAGGAAGCAGTAAAAAAAGGGGAGATTGAATTTAATAACTAAATTAACTAAAATCCTGATAAAGCAAATAATATCTAAACAATAAAAATAAAATTAAATAAATGAAGAGAAATATCTAGTTCACAGTTCCGTCTACACCCTCGACCGACTCGTCTAACTAACTTTGGTATCAATCTCGCTATCTTATGGAATTACTAACCCTAGGCAACGACAAGGTCTGTTACCCGAATTTTTCCTTATCTTTAATTTAACCGCGAGACGCTCTACGATTAAACCTGACTTCTTGTACAGTCCAGAAAAACATTTTCAAGATTTAATACAATTAGCCGCTTTACGAATTAGAAAAACAGGCTAGAATAAGTAGTGAACTCAACCGCGTTCGTTCACTTAAATAGACCGTGTTATCCCCGGTAGTTACCGTCTTCCGATAGCCTCTAATGAACTAAACACAATAACAATTACGGATTGAAGGTCTAATTCAGCTGTAGATATGAAAAGCCTAATCTAGGTGATCAATCTAAATAAGACTCAACACATCATGGTTAATTATTCAAAATAACACAAACAATTCCAAAAAGATATTGAAATTATCAACCACGTATATTAATCAAACATCATCAAGTCATAGGGTTCGACATCCCCGGAACTAGAAATAAAAACTACTCTAACATAATAAATAAAAAGAAAAGAAAGAAAATAGAATTATCCCCTTTCGTGTGTGAGTGCGGCCTCCCTCCGCGATTGCTGGATCCCTCGTCAGCTATCGCGTCTCTGTTATTTTTCTCTATTCTGCGTGGCGGCTCCCAAAATAATTCCCTGTTTAAGTGAATGTAACGCCCCACTTTTATTTGCCGAAATTCAGAATAAATTTTTCGAAATTTATTTCAAAACACTTGAGGCGCTACACATTTTCAAAAACAATTTCAGCAATATCACATATGCAATTCCCAACGAGCTCAATAATCATAAATAGTCAATACCCAAACCGGGTTCAATAATTGTAAATAGTCAACACCCAAACCGGGTTCATAAATGATATTAACTCCCAAAACTGGGTTCATCAGTCCATAAATACTAAGGACTACACTCCCAATCGATAATCCAGTACTCAACATAAGTCAGGAATGCATAAATCATATAAAGCAATTTAAGCAGCGGAAATAATCAATAACATGACCACCACTCGCTTCTCTCTGTCGTGCCCGCAATTACTAACCTGCATTCATGAAGAGCAGGTGGGGATGAGCACAATATAAAATCGAGGTGCTCACCACTATGCAATAATTAAAATTCAATTTCATAAAATAAGCAGGTATGGTCGCAGTATGAACACAAATCAATTAATATCCCATCTCCTATCCCAGAGTCAACTCTCATGTCCACAACTATACCAATAGACCACTGCTGATACACGTATCGAAATCCCCCCCACCCCCCACCCCCCCGGGCCTTACATCGATGCCCAGACAGTGGGAGTAAAACCACCCCGAATGCCCGGAACCTAGCCTTCGGACTTACATCGAGGATCACCAGCTAAGGCTCACACCCTGACTGCCATACATAAATAAAGGAGACTACCCATCGGGTACGTTCTATAGCTACGGGGATAACCGTTCGGCGGCCAATATAGCTCACATCGAAGGCTACATGGTTCACATGCATACTTTAATCATACCGCAACAATAACAATTAATTAATGCATAAAAACTTTTCAAATAAAACCCACCTGGATGTAGCAAGAGGTATAGCCAAACACAGAGTTGAAGAGATTATGGCATAAGTTCAGCTCGAAGGACCTACAACAATTTATAATAACCTATCACTTACTATCCAATTCAAAACAACATATAAGACATATACTTAGCCGAAAACATATCGACTAAGTGACTCGTGGATTCCTTGACCGAGTTAGGTACTATGGAGTGACTACCAGACCTGGACACAACTCATACTTCATATAATACACATAAATCATGCCAACATTAATAAAATTCAATCCTAACCTAAACAACCGATGACCGAGTATTAAGACCTCAAATTAAACTAAATTCAGAATCAGGAGTTAGGCTCAGCCAATCAACGTGAAAACTTACCAAATTATAAAGCATACAAAAACACATAAACTCACCAAGTTTTAGCCCTAAATTCATCCGGGAGCATTTTTAAATAATTTAAGCAAAAACAGCGTCGAAATCAGCATTTATTGCTTCGCATAGCTACACTTCGAATTTTAATCTGAAACTTTTACATAACCTAAAACATCACAAAATAACACATTCCTGGAAGTTTCGGCTCAAAACTCCAAGTGTACGATTTTTAATGAATTTTACAAGTGTTTGCACAGAAACTGTTTTAAGCATTTGAACTAAAAAAACTCAAAAATAAAATCAGGGGCTTGGCACACATATTCCACATACTCGGGGGCACAATATATCAAAAATTCAGCTCAAACCGATAATGACTCGATTTATGGTGAATTTATTACGGTTCAGCAGCATGCTCGGTTTAGAAAAATCATAACTCTCAAAATACAACTCTAAACGACTTCAAACAAAAACTAAACAATTAAGGATAACTCCAAGTACCTATAACTCCAGGATTTCTACGAAAAATACTACGTTACATTCAGTTCAACAATAATTCAAAGTGACGGCAATCACTTTGATATCCAATTTGCAATTTTGATATTAAATCGAAGTGAACACATAATCAACATGGCATATTCACATATATTCACAACACACATTCAACAACACGTAACACATAACATAGACAGAACGTAAAATTAAACGAGACGGGTCGAGCCTTGTACCGTTCTCGGGATTTCGATCGAAAACGGAAACGAAAACGGAAACGAAAGGTTCGAACGATCACGCGGCTCAAGCGGAAGATAACAGCGGCTCACGGATGGCAGCCCACGGTGGCCTGAGCGCACGTCAAGACGGAGCGGCGGCGGAGGATGAACTCGTCGGGGATCGCGGTGGCGCGAATTGCTGTTGTCGGGTTGTTGGGGATCGTCGGAATTGGGCCACGAGTCAGGTTCGTCGCGAACTGAGCGGGGAAGATGGCGGCTTGCGGCAAAGGAAGGTTGCTCGGGCGGAGTTTCACGGTGAGGGGCTGCTTCTCGACAGAAGGAGGTCACCGGAGTTAGGTGGCAGTGGCGGGATTTTGCAGGCGCAACGAGGGGAGGTTGTCTGCTCGATGACGGGCCGTTGCACTCGCCGGAATTGGGCCTGAGGGCTGGTCGCGAATGGTCTGACGAGATTGCTCGCCGGATTTCAGTCGCGAGGAGGAGGGTGATGGCGAGATGGAGATGGTGGCGGAATGGATGATGACGGGATGGATGATGATGCTGCGAGGGTGGTGAAGAGATGAGATGATGATGATGAAGGATTAAGGTGATGATCGGGTGAGAGTTTAGTGATGGGATTGCTTGGAAAAATTTCTCCTTTCTGCTCTTGATCGATCGAGAAGAAAAAGAATAAGGTGGCAGCGAGTTTCTGAGTTGTTGAACGAGAAAAGAAGGAGAAATACATATATATACCTATACATATAGGTTTAATGTCTTGCCCAATAAGACACACACTTGCGGGCCGGATTTGTTGGGCTTGGGCTTTGGCCAGATTATCGGGCTCGCGGGTTCGGTTCGAATAAACGAATCGGCACTCAGGCCCAACTACATAGAAATAATACAGCTTTCTCGGGCTCGATAAATTAAATCGCACAAATAAATAAACAACCAAATATAATATATTTTATATAATACACACAACTTAAATTTAAAAATAATAATAATAATATTAATAAAAATACAAATACACATTTTAATTAATTAATAACACTTAGAAAAATAAGCAATTAATTAATATTAAGACAATTAAGAAATTTGACAAATAAATCATATTCGACAATTAATAATTTTATAGCATTCAAACAAATAATAAGAACAACAAATAAATAAATAATAATAATAATAATAATAATAATAATAATAATAATAATAATAATAATAATAA